GTTTATCCAGCTCCTCCACTACGTACTGTTCCTCCAGTTCCTCCTGTTTATCCAGCTCCTCCACTGCCTCCTCCTGTTTATCCAGCTCCCCCACTGCCTACTGTTCCTCCAGCTCCTCCTGTTTATCCAGCTCCTCCACTGCCTCTTCCTGTTTATCCAGCTCCTCCACTACCTACTGTTCCTACAGTTCCTCCTGTTTATCCAGCTCCTCCACTGCCTACTGTTCCTCCAGCTCCTCCTGTTTATCCAGCTCCTCCACTGCCTACTGTTCCTCCAGCTCCTCCCGGCTGATGGTCTGAAATACTTAATGCTGTGTAAACACTAAGTGAGATCTGTAAGGTTTCGGTTCTTGTACTCCAGGCAGGGGTTCTCTGTGATCACATAGAGCATTTGGTTCCCACCAATCAGAGTAACTTCTGGGTTCTACAGTCCTGATTGTGTCTGTTACTGTACAGAACTGAAGATCTGCTGAAAGCAGTGTGAACTGCTGTGAGTTGCGTCACTGTGCAGAAGCGTCAGGCGGAGAAAATGATCTGTGAAGCTGTTTATCTGCACAGTCTGGAGTTCATCTCTTCAGAATTTAACATTGGAGTAAATACTTAAAAATAAACAGTCGGTTGTGATTTTATGTTTGTTTTTGTGTTTAAAGATTTTCAGGTCTCAAACAACTCACACATTTACAGCCACCATCCAAAACCTGCTTTATCTAATCAGTACCTCAAAACATTAGAAGTGTAAAAGTGGTGTATAGCTGTGACTCTGCGTGGTGGAATCGTGGTGGACCATGAGAGTTTGTGATTCACTGAATCATTTCCTGAAGAGCTGGATCAGATCTTCATGCTGTTGGAGACGCAGACCGTGTGTGCAGGTGGTTTTATTAGGGCAGAGATGATGTTGGTTGATCTGTTGCTGAGATGCTGAGATAATTGTGGTGTTTAAAGTGGGAGCAGGTTCTCCTCACATCTCCTCAAACAGGTTCATTAATGTGGAGAATAGAGGTGGGAATCTCTAGGCACCTCACGAATCGATTCGATTACGATTCAGAGGCTGCGATGTGATTATAAAACGATCATCTCGATGCATCTTTTTTTCTATACAGGATTTCTATTTTCTCATTGTGTCAGGACTTGGAACTTTTAAAGCAAAGTATTTGTAATGATCCAGAATGAATTTAGTTCCAATATCTTCTGAAGAAAAGTTTTCTGGTGGAGATGGGAGGAAAGCGGCTGTAGCTAAAGCTTAAAGCAGAGTACGTCTGAGTAAAGTGTTTTCATTTATATTTTTTAACCAAACTTATACTAGGAAATTCGCACACACTGAGACATACTGGACATTAAATGTTGTGGCTGCGAAGCTGGTTTGATTTTTCTTGAAAGGACAAAAGGCTCTTCTTATCATTTGTGTTGTGACTCCTGACCTAACCTGGCTTTAATGCAGGGGGAGCCGGTCGGATTTCTCACTCATCCAGTTGTGTTTTTGTTATGTGCCGCCACAGACTGTCCGGGCGCTGCACTTACCCACTTTCAAGTTACGCCTTTCGCGTTTTGTCAACATTACGTTATAAATTAGATATTTAGAAAATCGATTTTTGACATTTGTGAATCGATTCAGAATCGTTCATGTCCGCATCGCAATGCATCTAAGAATCGATTTTTTTCCTGCACCCGTAATGGAGATGAATAGTGAAGAGAGCTGGAGCACCAACACACACCAACATCATCTCTACAGGGACACCGCGGTCAGTGTGGACTTCTGTCCTCAGCAGATCGCTCTCCTTTATGAAACTGGAAGATCTCAGCAGGTCCAGAGTCAGGGGATCATTTAGGGACCACCAGCCAATCATCACGTCCCACTAAACCCAGTAAACTGTTAAACATGCTTCTGAACTTGCAGACGGCAAAAAACAACCGCAGTGAATCTAAACGCTGCACCTGCTGTAAAACCTGCACTGACTCACACAGGAGCGTCTTGGCGCCTCACTCTGTGATTGAGGAAAGCTCTGTGATTGATCAGTGGGGTTTGCTGATTTGCTGTAAATGTGATTCCTCTGTTCAGACCTGCTGGGTTCACGTTAACTGCATACCAGACTTTATACAGCTGTGTTCATCTGCACAGATTTTACACCTTTTACAAATTACAGTTTCTCACACACACACACACACACACACACACACACACATATACACACACACACACATATACACACACACACACACATATACACACACACACACACACATACACACACACACACACACACACAGATACACACACACACACATATACACACACACATATATACACACACACACACACACACACATATACACACACACACATATACACACACACACACACACACACACTCTCTCTCACACACACACACACACACACACACATATACACACACACACACACACATATACACACACACACACACACACTCTCTCACACACACACACACACATACACACTCTCACACACACACACTCACACACACACACACACACACACACACACACATACACACTCACACATACACACACACTCTCACACACACACACACACACACATACACACATATACACACACACACACACACACACACAAAAAGCAAAGTGATCAGTTAGAGGACGCACAAGCTGGGTGTTTCTAATAAAGTGGCCGTGAGGAGATGCTGGTGCTGCAGGTTAGCGACTGTGTTAATGAATGGCTGTGTTCTCTTTATGAAGCCTGTGTTCTACTTTGCAGCCCTTCAGTGTTTAACCTCAGTTATGTAAAGCCTGTGTTTCACTGCAGAGCCTGTATTTAGGACACGCACACAGAGCCGGACACGACTGCAGTGCTAACATCATCCTGAGCTCAGTCGCTCCACTTAGCGCGGCTCTCATCATAACATCATCAAACGAGAGGAAAGCGGCTCATAGCAGCTCCATACAGGCTGATTCAGATACACCGTCACAGACATCGTTACCCAAACACGACTGACAGAGTTTCCTCTGAAATGAAGGTGTTAATAGTGAGTCTGTGCTGCAGTAACTGCCTCTACTCTTCTGGAAGGCTTCGAGATGTTGAACATTGCTGTGAGGATTTGATTGAGCGTTAGTGAGATCAGGTACTGATGTTGGATGGTCAGGTCTGGGTCACTCCAAATCATCCCAAAGGTATTGGATGGAGCTCCATCACTCCAGAGAACACAGTTCCACTGCTCCACAGCCCAATGCTGGGGGGCTTTATACCCTCAAGCCCGCGCTGGGCACTGGGTGTGGAGAGTGATGTGGCAGTGTGAGCACTACAGCTTGAACACGCTGGCCTTTCATACATACAGCGTTTGAGCTGTGGAGAGAAAGTTGTACAGACATTGCTTTTTCCAGACAGATAGATGGTCACATGGTCATTCTGCTTAATACAGATAGAATTTTTAAAAGTGCACAATGTGTTTGTTTATCCTCGACAGCATTCTGACTTCTTGATTAGGCGAACGTTTCAAGCCTGGTAGACTAACCGGGAAATGTGTTTGCAGCACAGAATGTTTCAAGTAGTGTTTTGTTATGAATTAAATTACATTTAGAAAATAGCGTTATAAGTTTTTATCTGATATTCTGTTTAATTTCCATTGATTTTCGTGGCTCATTTCAGTGTAGTTTTATGCTCAGCATGCAAAAAAACAATCACAAATCCAGGTCTGTTCTCTGAAATCTGTGCTGCTTCAGTTCTGCATCAAAATGAAAATCAAGCCATTTTGCGTCACGCAGAGGTAGCATGTGTGAATCAGGCCTCAGGATCATGTGCAGCTGCTTCAGAGTGCCCAGTTCTATTGGTCAGTGCTTTTCTGTGGAGATTAAAGCTGCGTCAGTGGTCAGTGACCTTAACATATCTGATACAAGACTGAACACTTTGTTAAAGGTGTTGGATGCTACTGTACAACAGCTTGCATATCGCTGCTGTCGGAGCAAAACCTCATATTTTCAAAATGGTTAAAAACATACTGTACTTTTAATGTAAATCAGTGGAACCAGACTTTTTGACCAAGTAATTTTGGGCCGTTTCTATTGGTCCATTCATCATGAAATTTACAGACACTGTAAAGAACAAAAGGTATTTTATATATTTTATATGTCAGAAACTCAAAAATAACAAAAACAGAGATACGAGGTTCTGTTAGCGTTCTTATGAGTTTATTTGGACGGGTTCTGTAAGTGGGTTAAATCTCTAGAACAGGGGTTCTCAGTCCTGCTCCTGCAGATCTACCACCCTGCAGAGTTTAGCTCCACCCCTAATATAACACACCTGATCCAGGTTCTAAAGGCCTTCAGGAACGTCTGAATATTAGAGCCAGCTGTGTCGGATCTGATCTCTCCAGGATTGGGCAGCCCTGCTGTACTGTATCTTTAAGGCCATCTAGTGGAGAATCAGTGCAACACAGCCAGTTCCTGTTTTAGCCTTTTTGGACTTTAATAACGGAACTGTACGTTAACGTTTGTACGTGTTTACAGGGGAAGTCCATAGACTTTTCACAGATCCCCCCATAGTTCAGTGTGTGAGATGTAAACAGGGTGATTCAGAGTGGGTTGGTGTTGTTGATTGTACAGACTCAGATTTCTGTACAGTGGTGGTGATGGGAACCAGGGGTCGCCATGAATAGATTTTAAGACTAAAATCTTTTTACAATTATCATAAACAGTGTCTCGGTCATCAGGCAGTGAATTCATAACCATTTCATGTAGGAACTTTCTGTGAGGGAGCTTTTAGAGGTGGACCTCTGGTTCCTATCACCACCACTGTGAACAGTTCAGACTCGGTAAGTTTATCTAGAACGCTCTGACCCGCTCTGTTTACGTCTTAACCACTTAATTATGTAGGAGCTTTTAAAAAGTGGTGGTATTTCCCTTTAAAGCATTTGTGGCCTGAATCTCAGATTGAATCTGACTTTATTATCACCACATTAACGTGAACTAACTCTCTCTCTCTCTCTCTCTCTCTCTCTCTCTCTCTCTCAGAAAGCGTACTGTGGTCACTGCAGTGAGAGGATATGGGGTCTGGGGCGACAGGGTTACAGGTGTATCAACTGCAGACTGCTGGTTCATAAGCGCTGTCATAAACTCGTCCCTCTGAGCTGTCAAAGGCATATGGTGAGTTCATCGCTCTCACTATTTACACTGTCTATACACTCTCACTCTCTATACACTCTATACACTCTCACCTTACACTCTCACTCTCCACACTCTCTACACTCTCACTCTACACTCACTCTCTACATTCTCACTCTACACTCACTCTCTACACTCTCACTCTCTACACACTCTATACACTCTCACCCTATACTCTCACTCTACACTCTCTCTCTACACTCTCACTCTGCACTCTCACTCTCTACACTCTCACTCTACACTCTCTCTCCACACTCTCACTCTCTGCACACTCGACACATGCTATACACTCACCCTACACTCTCACTCTGCACTCTCACTCTACACTCTCACTCTATACTCTCACTCTGCACTCTCACTCTCTACACACTCTACACACTGTACTCACTCTACACTCACTCTCTACACTCTCACTCTGCACTCTCACTCTACACTCACTCTCTACCCTCTCACTCTGCACTCTCACTCTACACTCTCACTCTACACTCTCTACACTCTCACTCTACACTCACTCTCTACACTCTCACTCTGCACTCTCACTCTCACTCTACCCTCTCACTCTGCACTCTCACTCTACACTCTCTACACTCTCTCTCTACACTCTCACTCTGCACTCTCACTCTACACTCACTCTCTACCCTCTCACTCTGCACTCTCACTCTCCACACTCTCACTCTCTACACACTCTATACACTCTCACCCTATACTCTCACTCTACACTCTCTCTCTACACTCTCACTCTGCACTCTCACTCTCTACACTCTCACTCTACACTCTCTCTCCACACTCTCACTCTCTGCACACTCGACACATGCTATACACTCACCCTACACTCTCACTCTGCACTCTCACTCTACACTCTCACTCTATACTCTCACTCTGCACTCTCACTCTCTACACACTCTACACACTGTACACACTCTATACACTCTCACCCTACACTCTCACTCTCCACACTCTCTCTCTACACTCTCACTCTCTACACACTCTATACACTCTCACCCTGCACTCTCACTCTCTACACTCTCATTATCTACACTGTAACTCTACACTATCTACACTCTACACTCTCAGTCTCTACAGTCTCACTCTGCACTCTCTCTAAACACTCTTTAAAATTTCAAGAAGCAGGGCTTAACTGCTTGTAGGCTGAGTGGGCGGGGCAAAACTGCTGTAGCTTCTGCTGTAAGAAGTGCTCTGTATTGAACACTCTGACCGAAAGTCACATACAGGGCACTCAGACCGGGGAGGTCACCACCAGCCACAGGCTTGACCCTGACAGTGACCAACCCCCAACACAGATCCCCACACAGCAGCCCCACCTCCCAGCACAGAACAACACAACATAAACAACAGCCAACAATAAACAACATAACAGTCTCTTTGTGAGGGGCCAGTGCAGTTCGCCACGATTTATAATTACTCAGAATTCTTGTAATATGAAGTAAAATTTCTACAAATACCCTTTTGTGTCTACTTTATAAGATTTGTGTTATGTAATTATTATATAAAGAGTAATAGAAAAAGAAATGATTATTATGACACTTGACTCCAAACCTTGAACAGTAATGCACATCAGACTCTTTAGTTTAAAAATAATATGATGTTCTAAACCGTAAACATCAGTCAGCGAGTCTGTAGTTTAATATCTGGTATGTATGATATTTATAATACAGTGTATTTGGAAGTTTGCGGTGTTTTTGGTTGGTGCTGCTGAGACACGCTGACTATGATGAGACTGATTTGGACGGAGTTCAGTCAAATCACACGTTAGCCCACAGGAAGGCTCCTCAGCTGCTCTGTAAATTTGTGTTTACGTCTCCTGGAACTGGATTACAGAGGATTGTGGGAGAATTCGTAGGCGCCGCTCAGGCAGTGAGCTGATGGAGTGTAGAGACAGAGGAAAACATGCTAACCTACTGATTTCTGTATTTTAGGTGTGCTGTGGTCAAATACTGACCGCTGTGTTTGGTGAATGTGGTCATACAGACAGGCATTAAAGCGACTGTGCGGCCAAAAATCAGACTTTCTGTCTCTCCTCAGATGCAGTCGATCAGCTGTGATGTCGGGTGTCAGGTTTACTTGTTTACTTTTAGCACTGGAGCTCCGAGGTCTTAGCAGATTGACTATTATCATGGTGATAACTGCATGCCTGGATCTCTGTTATACTGCTTTATTATACTGTCCTGTAACTGTTATACAGTCATTTCATACCAACCGAGTCTGTCAGAGACTGAACAGCTCCAGGCTCTGAGACTCGGAGCTGAAGTTCGATTCCTGTCCATCGGCTTCTTGTTCCGATTTTCTGTTCCTCCTTAAACAGTCCAGCGGTTCTGTTCCAGCTCCGCTC